CTCAGTTCAATTACAATCATGGATTTTAAAACTGACCCAGTGGTCGAACCGGTCAGGGGTCCGATTACTGGGTCAAATGGTTTGACCGTTCGAATTGAACATTCAAAACTGTTCGAACAATTAACCGTCCGATTCAACGATTCACTGACCAAAATCAACGATTTTGGAGGAAAATTAGATTTTTGAAAAAAACGGAACTAATCAAATGACCAGTTCTCAGTTTTTCCGGATCCGATCCGATTTTGAAAACCATGATTACAACCCCTTCATCTTTCAAAAAAAAATTACAACCCTTTGGTCGGTGGGCAAACAGCCTCCCACTAAGTCCAAACATCCATCTTCATGCTTTTGTTTTTTCTTTTCACAAATTTAGATAGACGTTGCAGAAATTTCTCCCCACATGAATCACCTCGTTGTACATCATCTATGAAATGGCCCCATTAATCAATACAATCTGGTTGATAGTTCGTTTGCTTTAGAAATTTGGTAAGAAAACGCTGCCGACAAAGAAAATCTTTATTTATAAAACAAGGAATGCTTCAAATTTGTAATTGTTATTATTTATTTCTCAAGCAGAAACAGAAGGATTAGACAGTCGAATACCAAGCACGTGGATGCCATACAAAAAGGCCAGATGAAAGACGCACGATTACATTTGGGGTCCCGCACTCGCAGCAAGAGTTCAGTTTTGGCTTAACGATCAGAGCCCAGAGGGTTTAAAACAGTCTAATCACGTTTAATGTACGCTAGCAACGATGTACCCCTAAAATAAAATAGTAATACTACACGAATAAAAAATAAAAAAAGAGGTGGATGGGATATGTATGGAAGGAAAGAAAGAAAGCAAATGAGATCACGCAAAAGGGCATCTGCATCTCCATCATCTCTATGCTTGCACTTAGCTGTCCTTGCGGCGGATCACATGCGCCAACATCGCTTGCCCCTGTATTGATTTGAAGAAGATCCAGGTTTCACGTATCAGTATCATTTTTTGCTTGTGGATATGTATCGCTGCAATGACACGGACGGCTGCGATTAGTTTGTTAACCCCCCTAGACCGGATCGTGCCACGATGGAACGGACAACAATCATTCAGTACACGTCAACCATGTGCCGCCTGGGTCCCACCGTGGCCCATCTGTCGTTTGGACTTTTTTATACACTGACTACTGACTACTGACTGGACACTACCCAACCCTTGGCCTTGGTACTTGGTAGGGCTAATTTGATCTGTCCCCCAACCCGACGCGACGACCCTGGGTCATAGCTTAGCGGCGCTCCCGGCTCCCGCTTGGCTGAGCCGCTGACGATACCCAGTAGCTACGGCTCCTTCCTTTTTAACCCAGTTGGCCAGTTCATGAGGAGTTCAACCGCCGGCTCGCTCCTTCTCCTCTCCTAACTTCCTAAGCAATGTCGATACTTCATACTTTAAATCCACAAGAAAGAAAGACATTTTCATTGGATCCTCGGGGTAGTGATGATTTGTTTGAGGTACGATAACCAATAATGATCGGATTCGTCTGAATGATCCAAATATGATGGTGCTAAAAATATAGTGGCTAGGGACAGATCCCATTTATCACTACTATTATTACTATTTTTTTCTGGGGGGGTTCTATTGTGCAAGTTTGGGCAATGACTGAATGGCCTGGTTTGTTGAGATGGGATTTCGTGAAAAGCAAAAGGCATCCAGCTGCACCTCGGTTGAAAGTATAAGCCATGGGAACACTAAAATACAGCATCCAGTATTGGCTCGATTTTATTTTCAGAAGATATCTGATTTCTAGTTTGCTTGCAATACAATCTAATTTGCACCAGTGTAAAAGTATGGGAGGGAAAATGAATTAAGTGCATATTCTAATTTATTTTTCTCCTTTTGCAATGCAGAAGAATAATAACTTGATGAAGCAAAGTAAAATTCAACATAAATTTACACATTTTTATTTATTGTCCTAAACATTTGTATTAATGTAAATGAAATTGCACATCAAACGAACAAAGCATATATTAATTTGACATTGTTAAGTAGTGACTTCTGCAACCAAAGGATTATATTTATCATCCCAAAGTTTGGAAGGTTTTAAAATCCTCGTGTCGTCCTATCCAGCTATCTCCAGGTCGACCAATACGATATTAGTCATATTGTATTAAAATTTTAAATGGGTAAAAGATTTTAAACATACCCCGAGTTTTAGGAAATTGACTCAAACATACCTTCAGTTTTCTCACAGGACTTAAAATATAACCTTCTCTCCGCTATCATTAATGGCATTAACAAAAACACAATATTATCTCTCTGTTACAGAACACTAGCCAGCTTTTCCATTTGTCCACAGCATCTTCTGTTGATGATAACGCCCGTCTGCAACATTTTGTTTCTTTCCTCTCTTCTTCATTGGCATTTCTCTGCAACTTTGGCCATGGTTGAGAGAGTGAGTACTAAAGAACATTTTGCCTGCAATATCTCTACATCATTCTCACTTCTTGGAAACTTTATTGTCACCACTACTAACAATAACAAAGCTCTCAAAGCAATCATACATTGGAGAATACGAGTATGAACCATAAAATCTTTATCATCAACCAACAATTTTGGCCCTTCGAAGTAGGGAATAGTAGTAAGAGGTCTCAACCTTAGTGATGAGAAGCTAATAGCTCATAGTCATAGCCAAAGATTATTCTTTGTAAAACACCTCTGAGTTCGAGGTTTTTAGTTCACTGTTGTGAAAATTAAAATATCCCATGGACGGAGATAGAGATTCCCATTTGAATGTGTGGAGTCGACTCGATTCAACTTCTTTCTTCTCCACCTCCCATGCCCAAAGACTTTTTCGAAATCTCTAAAAATCCAAAGAAGTTGTTTGTTACCATCTAGGTTTTGGGTTTCAATGATTAACACATTTCCTTTGTTCTTAATTCAGGCCTTCTATTTGCAATCCAAACTATAAAGTCCATATGGTCTCTAGTCCTCAACCAAAACCATATGAAAAATCTAAAATCTTTGTATTTTTCATCTGGGTTTGGCGAGTAATTAATGTCATTTTCCCAAATCTGTGAAGTACCTGTCAATTACCAACCAAAGTTCCATCAAAAAGCTCCTAACCAGAGATTTCCTGATTCTTATGGATGGAATTTATGGACTCTTCAACAGGGAGCTGAGAACTCTGCCCAGTTTATTCTCGTTGGGTCCAAGTCCTGAAAGGAGACAAAAAGAAAAAGAGCTATTAGCCCATTCTAGCAAATACCATATATAAGACATAATCACGTGGGAGGAAAGAAAAAGGGCAAAGTGGGGCTTTTTCAAATATTAAATTAATCATGTGACAGGGGAGGGTCAGGGTATGTTTAAGTCTAATGGGCTTAGCCAATAAGGTATATTATAATTTCTCTGCAATATTATGTTTTTATACATGCAGTCTACTCTGACTTGCAAAAATAGGAAACACTCGGATGGTGGATGTGGGTCATCGTTACAAATACAACCATATTTGTTGTATATATTGCCTAAGTCATATCATTTGAATCGGACAACCCAAGATTCAAGAAGCATGTCCAGCAAATTGACGCTGGTTTGCCAAACCCACCATTTGTCCATTTGATGCAAAAGTAACTAACAATACATTTGTAGTGGTTTTGGTAGGTAGGGAACTAATATTATAAAAATAACAAGTTAAAAGAGTACCATAACTTTACTTTTTTTTTTTTTTTATGTTTATGTCATTTACCTTGTTTTTTCTAATTTTATACATTTGGTTTTCTAATTAAATAAATCAACAATGCAACTTAAGTAGGCTGATCATACTGCATATGTATTAAGTTTCAATATATTAAGATTTAATTCCATCAAAAGCTATAGAATAATGATCATGCTCTTCAAAAGTGCCTTTTCTTTGGGTATTTTGCCCCACTCCAGCCAACTCTATATCACCCACACTTATTCAATTTCTTACTTGTATTTGTATTTATTGCTGGCGTGGAACAAAATGATTCATCCCTCCACTCTTAAAGCAGCTATCAAGTTCACTATTTTTTTTTTTATTCAAAAAAATTTCTTCTAATCCAATCTCCTTATATTTTCTAACTTTGCTCTTTTCTATATATAATCATACCTTTTTTTTTTACCCCAAATACAATTGTATTTGCTTGTTTATTTATGTTATGTTCCCTTTTTTCCCTCGTAGGCCATTACAAAAAGGCTATCCAAATTATAATGCTTCTTTTCAGGCTATCCAAATTATAATGCTTCTATGTCCAATAGTCGATCAGATAGGTGTGGAAAAAAGAGGTGTTGCTTGGCAAGTCTTTTTAGAAAGATTTTCTAGAAGATTTGACAGCCAAAAGATGTAATAGGTTTTTACAAAAAGACCTTGAAAGCCCACAGACTGTTTAGTTGAAGGTGCATCTTTCTATGTATATTTCTGCACGAAGATGAAACAGAAAAAGGGTGAGAAGCTCATTTCTAAATTCCTGAAATAAACTTGAATTTAACTTCTGGTGTCTTTTTTGGAGTACAATCTTTCTGCGACTAAATCTTCACCCAACCAAACCTAAAAAGACGAAAACACAGACTACTAAACTTCTAAACAACCAACAGGCAGAAAGATGTGCCAAACGAGGCTTCATTCAATGGAGAAATTGAAAGCTCAGTATGTAAGTGATAGATGAAGGGAAATGGATGTCATAGAGTGTGAGGATTTTGACAAAAGCAGTAGTAAGATGGCCAACGGGATGCGAAACAAACCGGTTCAACCTGATCCGGCCCATCTCTTTCAATGGATGGAATCATGGAATGGTGTAAACTCACATCACGCTGAGTCTCTCTAACTCGACTTAACCCCACAAAGAAAAGCGAACAGCGGGAGCTGCACTTAAATTCTAACCCCAGTTAAGTTGACGTCAAGCTCAGCCGGTGCCGCGGCCGCGCGGCCCGCGCCAGAAAAGTCTATGCGCGTGAACAAAGAACTAGACTTTCTTTTGTTTTGGCTTAACTTATTTTATTTTTTTTTCACATTATGTATGTCGTCCTGATGATGGAGTATCGAGTGTGAGAGTTGCTGTTAGATCCCTTTTACGAGTAACATACGCTAAAATCTGCAGACGGTCTCCGACTTCTCTAAACCAAATTTAGCTCAAATCTTAACTTCTGGGGTTGTTTTCTTGTTAATTTGATTGGTACAAGACGGCACACATACAGACACAGCGCGAGACGGAGAGAGAGAGATCTTAGTTAGCCATGGAAGACGAGAAGGGGACGCTGGTTCAGAAGCTAATTGACATCGTTAATGAGATTTCTGCAATCTCGGACTACAGATGGGCAATTAAGAAGCAGTACTGTAACCTTGCGAGGCGATTGAAGCTCTTGACTCCGATGTTTGAAGAGATCAAAGAGAGCAAAGACCCCATCCCTGATGAGAATGTAAAAGCCCTAATTTCTTTGAAGGAAGCTTTGGAATCAGCCAAGGAGATGCTCAGATTTGGTGGCGAAGGGAGCAAAGTTTTTTTGGTGCGTATTATCGGTTTCCTTCACCCAATACTTTTTTTTTTTTTTTTCTTTTGAATTTCGTAATCTCCTTTTGGTTTCATGGACGGATCTTTTCACGATCTCCTTTTGAGCACTTGTTATTTTAGTTGTTAGGGGATTCTCTCTCTGACGTTCGGCCTATAATTCCAGCTTAGGTGTTGTTTTCTTTTTTTTGTAACTTCTTTCACTTGCTGCGCCCACGGTCTACATACGTTACAGTTAGCGATTGTTTATAGATGGACTTGATTCTTTTGTTTTCCTTCCTCAATTTCTCCTCGGAACTTATGGATTTAGTCTCCCTCTCTCTCTCTCTCCATTCACTAGTGTTGAAGTTGGTTGCGACTTTGCAGCTTCAAATAATCCTTTGTATTAAGCTTCAAGTGCAGGTTGAAAATACCGTCTAGGGCATGGACATATTTATAAAACATTGATAGGGAGAACAAAGCGTAGTTTGATGCAAATATGCCATTCCTGGAATGAAATTTCTCTCTTTCCTTCTGCATTTTACTTTTTTTTTTTTCATTTAGATTTCTTACTTCTGCCGCGGTTGTTGTAGATTTCTTACTTTTAACGTAATCGTTGACAAGGTCTTGCGCCGGCCCCGGGTGGGGGGTCCTTTTATCACTTTTTCGAGTTACAACTAACCGTCTGGCCTTATCTGTCCGCCCATTACTGAACTAGTTGGAATCTACGTATAGGAAGAACCATCGTCCAAGTTACTGCTTTTTTTTTTATAGTACAAGATGAGCGATGCATTGGGTTTTCTTTTCCAGTTTGGATTGATCATTCAGCCAGAGGACACAGCTGCATAACTTAATCCATCGGAATGGTACCAAAACATATATGAAGTTGACGTTGGGCTAGCTCTGGTGTAATGATCAAGTAACCATTAACTTAGTTTTCATATGGAATTGGTGAAAGGAAGTCTAAATCTCTTTGAAGGACGACTTTATCTTCTGCTTTCCAAAACAACTGCTTAATAAAGTTCAGGAACGCGTGGCGTGTTCAAGGAAATGAGTTGAGATAAAATTGTATTTCAAAATTTCTGGTACACCAGATAGATGAAACATATGGGTTCATATTTTAACAACGGGCATGACACCGAATAGAACAGAATGGCAGAAAAGGATTCATGTAGCCCATATGGTTGAAACAAGGCTTAGATGATAATATAGGTCTGCCAGAAAGATCAGACATATGAGTTCAAGTGTCAAAGTTACGTGCTAAAGCTGTCTTTCTTTGTTCCTGATTCCTCCCAAAAGCACCAAATGGAGGGGAAGTCATTACTACATTAAGACTTCACATGCTCACAGCACTTCCTTGCAACCATGGACATGCTTTGATCCTGTTGCTGATCCAAAAAAAAAAAAAGAAGAAAGAAAATATATTTGGAATTAGGGCTGCAACTTGGGTTGGGTTAGTCTGAACCCAACCCTAAAAAGTCAGGTTGGGTTGACGTTCAGGTTAGGTTAGGGTTGAAAAGTATTAACCTGACTTAACTTCGGGTTGGGTTAGGGTTGAGTCTTTAGCCAAGCCAACCTGAACCTGACTTCATATTTATATGTACAACTTTTAAATAAACATGTATTTATGCAAGTACCATATATGCATGTTTTTTTTTTTTTTTGTATTTAACAAAGCACACTAACTTTTTCAACATAGGTGGAATTAGTGGGACTCTTATCCACGTCTCTGCTGGGACTTCCCAGCTAACATGCCAACCGAGCCACCACTCAGTTGGCCCATTCAATGTTATATGCAACTATGCATGATGCATCTATAAATATTATCATCTTTAGCCAACCTGACTTAGCTTCATCTATGTATGTATGTTTTTATTATTTATTTATTTATTGTAGAAATGTATGTATCTACATGTATGATTGTTTATAAGTATGTCAACGGTTATAAGTTAGGAAAAATTTCTCTAAAGTATGATTATTATGTCATTTTATATATAATTGTGTTAAAATTAAAGTGACCTCAACCCTTAATTGTAGAAAAAAAGAACATTTGACAGATGGAAGTAGGGAAGTTGGGCCAACTTGAACCAAGCCCTATCGCAACCCAATCCGAAAACTTTGCATAGGATTAGGGTTGAGCTCAACTCAACCTGACTTGAACCCCTCCCTATTTGAGATCACTGGGATATATTTTTATTTTTTATCAGTAACAGAGCAGAGATGCTTTATTGTGGTAAATTTCAAAGGCAAGTAGGCAACCCCTTCCCATCTCCCAGTGGGGTAACTTTCCCACCTGGGGGAAGTTTCCAACACTTGGACGGGACAAAATTGCTCCCATCTCCCAGGTGGGTAAGTAACTTTCCCACCTGGGGCAAGTTGTCAACACTTATGGGACAAAATTGCCCCTTTTAATAATGGCTTTTTATGGCTAAAATTGGTCATTGTCTTATTTACATGGGAAATAAAAGAACATGGGTAAATGCACTTACCTGGGTAAGTATTTCCTTGGGGATTTACCCGATTAAGTAATTTCCCGAAAAGAGAATGGGTTCTAAAGTATATGTTAGTTTCACAGGTATAAAGTGACTTTAATGGATCGGGATGTGTATATTTCAATTGTTTCTTTTCTTTCTGCATACTAACAAATGATACAATGAAGAGATTCCTTAGATTCATTAGTTTCCGGTGAAGGACCATACCGTCCCATTTCATCTTTACCTTTTCAATTTCACATCTAGCTATTTAGCCATTTGACAACATCAAACATGTTCATGTTATTAATTTTCATTTGACTGGATTTCCTTTCCCTATGGAACTGTGGAAATGTGGATCAAATCTTTGGGATGAGGGTATAGGTAGCTGGATCTATTGTAAACATTCATTTAACGTATCATTACAATTTCAAGCTACCAGTAAAAGAACTGTAGATCTGATCCTTAAGTGTTTAGTGGAGATGTAAAACTTGTATCTCAATTGGATCTGTAGATGTCTTGAAGGTATTTTATTTGTTAGGTCAGATTGTATTAACATCATAGCAACAATCTAGAATATCACTTGATTGAGCTACAGCAATGATGACTGACCTACATATCTACATGCTTAGGATAAGTGGGTGAATGGTGTTTGGAATGAAGGATACATATGTTTCCATATGTTGTGGCTTCCAACTGATGATTTTTGGGCCCTTTATAGATGTTACATTATCATGTTATCAAACTAATATAGTGGGTCTGCACCATGCACCGCCAAAGGTGTAGACGTTCATCGCACATGACATGATGATCATACAATGAATGAATCTGTAATTTGTGATTGTCTTTAAATTCTAAAAGTAAAATATTGTGGGTGATCTAGGGGGAAGTATAGATTGAACTGCTAAATGTGCAATGCTGCTTATTTTGGCCATTGAGATATCCTACATGGGACCATGGAATGTTGGATTGCGGTCGAGTGTCTATAGGCTACAATTTTAATTATGAGATGAGCTAATTCTATACAGTTGCCAAATGATCATGTTCTTCTGTGAGCAAATTTTACATCTTATGGAATGATTTGGACATGAAGGATTAAACAAGTTATAATTGAATTATTGATTTTTTGGCATTTTGGAGTATTCTTTACCATAATATCATCTCTGATACTTCATCTATCTTGATCAAAGTGCATCATTTTTTTTTTGGAAATGAATTATCTCTGGCATGGCTTGCCTATTATGGACATGCAGGTAGGTGTATAAGCATGGGTGGGTGTGATTTTTTTCTTTTTCTTGGGGGGTGGGGGGAGGGGGCAGGGGTTGATGGGGGAATACATCCTCACACAGGCATGCTCTTGTAATCCGATCATGTGCATGAGAATTCGGATCTTACATAATTTATTGTTGTATTCCAAGCTAATCACTCCCTGTCCACTTGAAGGTTCTAGAGAGGGAGAAAATAATGAACAAATTCCAGGAGGTGACAACTCAACTGGAACAAGCTTTGAGTGGAATTTCCTTTGATAAACTTGACATATCAGATGAAGTTAAAGAACAGGTAGAGGTCCATCCTTAAAACTATGCTGTCTCTCTTTGTCCAAATGTTATATCATCAATTTCTAGTACCATTCAATGAATTCTTGAACCTTGGTTTCGTGGAAGTGACAGTATTACGGCTGCAACTTGGGTCGGCCCAAGTTAGCATTTTACACTGCTTTGGGCTTGGGCTTCGGGCCAAGGCCATTCAAATTTTGACAAAGCCACAACCCGAGCCCGCCCAAGTTGCATCCCCAGACAGTATATAAGAGAAGGTCCTAGTTTTATTTGTCCTTTCTGTTTCATCCCTACAAAACTTTCTTCCCAGGTTGAGCTTGTCATTGCTCAGTTCAAACGAGCTAAAGGACGGGTAGATGCACCTGATGTTGAACTGTATGAGGATCTTTTATCTGTTTACAACAAGAACAGTGATGCAGATACAGACCCAGCGGCCTTAAAGAGATTGACAGATAAGTTACAGCTGGTGAGCATAGCTGACCTCAAGCAAGAATCACTAGCTTTGCATGAGATGGTAGTTGCAAGTGGTGGAGATCCTGGAGAGAGCATTGAAAAGATGTCAATGCTGCTCAAGAAAATCAAGGATTTTGTGCAGACTCAAAACCCTGATATGGGTGCTCCTGCAAATGAGAAGACTGAAATCCCAGTCATACCAGAGGATTTCCGCTGTCCGATATCACTAGAATTAATGAAAGATCCTGTCATAGTGTCAACAGGGCAGGTATATATTCCAATTCATAATCCACTTCAAATGCACCGCAGAATTCTTTTTTAATTTCTGTTCCTTTTCTTTTTCTTCTGCATCAAATGACATTCATTTTTGAAGAAATTGTTAGGATAAAACTGTTACTCTGTACAGGAGAAATGCAGTATTTGATGCCCAACTATTTGATACTATATTAGGAATTTCCTATTGGAAACTTGATTGCTTCGGGTTATCACAGTGGGTTTACATCCAGGAAAAAAAAATTATCTATTTTGGATGTTTACTATCCTTGATGTAAACTTGTTATCTAGGAGTCCTTGTGGGGACCATTCAATGTTAGGTCTGCATTTTTTGTGTTGCACATACATCACAGGGTGGAAAGTGTTTAGTTTTCTTTGTATCCTTACTTCACTCTTATATTTTGTACACTAAGGTTCATTTTACTCTTCTTATTGTAGACATATGAACGAGCATGCATTGAGAAATGGCTTGAAGCAGGGCATGTCACATGTCCAAAGACACAACAGAAACTTTCAAGTACTGCCCTTACACCAAACTATGTTTTACGTAGCCTCATAGCCCAGTGGTGTGAAGCCAATGGGATGGAACCCCCTAAAAGACTGAGCAATTCACGACCTAGTAAGGCTGCATCTACCTGCTCTCCTGCTGAACTTGCCAAGATTGATATTCTCCTTCGGAAATTAACATCTGTCAATATTGAAGACCAGCGTTCAGCTGCTGGTGAGTTGCGCCTTCTTGCCAAGCGTAACGCTGACAATCGTGTGTGCATTGCTGAGGCTGGTGCTATCCCCTTCCTTGTTGGTCTTCTCTCAACTACTGACCCACAGACCCAGGAGCATGCTGTCACTGCACTGCTCAATCTTTCCATCTGTGAGGATAATAAAGGTAGCATCATATCCTCTGGGGCTGTACCTGGTATTGTGCATGTTCTCAAGAAGGGGAGCATGGAGGCACGGGAAAATGCAGCTGCTACACTCTTTAGCCTGTCAGTGGTAGATGAGAACAAGGTGACAATTGGTGCATTTGGGGCAATCCCAGCACTTGTAACACTGCTGGGCGAAGGTAGCCAGCGGGGGAAGAAGGATGCAGCAACAGCACTCTTCAACTTGTGCATATACCAAGGGAACAAGGGAAGGGCAGTGAGGGCTGGAGTAGTCCCCACGCTAATGAGACTGCTCACAGAACCTGGAGGTGGAATGGTAGATGAGGCATTGGCCATACTAGCAATATTGGCAAGTCACGCTGAGGGGAAGGCTGCAATTGGAGCTGCAGAAGCTGTGCCAGTCCTAGTGGAGGTGATTGGAAATGGATCACCCAGGAACAGAGAAAATGCAGCTGCAGTGCTGGTGCATCTGTGTTCTGGGGACCCAAAACATCTTGCAGAGGCCCAGGAGCTTGGAGTGATGGGTCCATTGTTGGACCTTGCACAAAATGGCACAGACAGGGGCAAGCGGAAAGCTGCACAATTGATCGATCGTATGAACAGGTTTGTTGAGCAGCAGAAGCAGGTTCAGGTGCAAGCTGAAGCCCAGGCTCAGTCTCAGACCCAGATCCAGCATTCAGAATCACCATCTACAGTAGGAAGCATTGATAGATAAGTGCTTTTTGTTGTGTTTTTTCTCTTCTTTTGTCTTGTTGGCTTGGTTTTTTGGTTCATTTGAAAAGAGACGGGGTTTTTCTTGATTAGGGATGGGGGGTGGAAGAGCACCTGCCCATCTGTTGCTAAGTTATTCATTTGTTTATGTGGGTTGTGGCCCCTCATACGTTAAAGGGATGAAGATGTGAAGAGCCATCCGAAGAAAAGGAAGAGAGTCCAACATGTTAGACATAAATGTGTAATTTACAAATTTATAATGTACTACTGTAAAACATCCTCAATTTTTTGGAAGGAAATATATCTTTTAATCCACTAAAAGAAACATTTTCTTTTCTCATTGGCATTGAACTGTGGTTGAAAGTTGAATCCAATCGTTGTATTCAGAATTTGCCACTTGAACGTAACAGTGAAAGTGTGCTCATTCAAATAAATGGTGATTCAGAACCACTGTAGTTTTATCTAATTTTGCTTGGGGATAAAAGGGAGTGGAGGCCTGTGCTACTGAATGTGTGGAACGTATTTGTGCAGTGCGACAATGAATGACATTAGTCAAAGCAATGGCACTACTGACTACATTAAGATTAATTGGACTACGACAGATAGATTAGCTAGCACCTTATGTGATGTTTTTTCTTTAGGTGAACATTCGAGTCTGGCTGGATGTGTGAGAGAATTTGAGCCCACTCGTGCCAACCAGATCAGGCCTGCTCAAGCACCAAGGCGCGCGCGCTATGACTCGGTGAGAGACCGCATCTCAGTGCAATATTTTAGGGACCTTCACTTACCAAGTCTAACACTTTACACTTGTCTGAGTGGAAACCCAAACCTTCTGCATTGGGAACTTGAATATGGGTAAATTGGAGGAGAGCAAGTGATTAGTGAAAACTGAAAACCATGATGCATGCGAAAAATGGTTGAGGGAGGTAAATAAAATGAGAGATGATTTTGATGGTTGTAGTATTGGGTGAAGAGATAAAACTTACGCTGGCGGTCTTGGATGTGGGAGAAGGAGAGACGAGTGGATGAATGGCTGTCGCATGTTTCAAATATGGTGTTGGTGTTCTGCTTTGAAGTTTAAAGTTTGAACCGGTCTGTCAGTCGGTCATTAATCACTATGTCAAAAAATAACATATAATCATACCATTTTTAAGCATTTAAGTAATGTGCCGTATTTATTTCCAAAAAACTTATCCTGTATTCGAATAATCGGAGGAAGAACAAACCGTATTACATCTGTTTTACAAGCTGAATTATATGCTATTTTGCAGGCATTATCAGAAAATTTTCAATGGGGGATCAATGAAGTCTATATATATTCGGATGCTCAACAAGTTATCAACGCTCTCAATCAGAGGACTAAACTAGCCTGGTCCTGCCATTGGCTTTTGTCGATGATCAATTTACTAGTTTCTGATTATAGAGTCATGTTTATTTTAATTATGTAAATAGAAAATATAACTGCTCAGCCCACAAGGTATCCTAACTAGCAAAGAACCATTGTCAATCATGTTTTTCTCTAACTAACTGTCACGAAGGGATACCTAAAGTGGAAGACTTGATCTCTTTCTCCTTGTTTAATATAATGAATCCTTCAAAAAAATAAAAGTAATGTGCACATTATTCCTAAGTTTAGAAGCTTTTTGTCTACCGTCACCGACACGGACTCGGTTTTTTAGCATCACTTATACGTCTCTATATGATGGCATGTCTTAGACGTGGGACACAGAGTGTTATAGATAATGCCCTTTATCAGTAGGTCCCATGTCCTCACACCGTAGATAACCAAGAACGGAGGAGAATCTAATGCTTGGGGATACTTTGCTTTTTCCTCGTTCACTTTCAATTACATCCGCATTGTAAATAGGGATGACAATTTTTTTCATCACCCCGATTTCTGTGAGGATCTATTCCAAATGGGGCGGGGATGGGGACAATTTTCTTCCCACGGGGTTAGGGGTGGGGAAATTTTCATGCCCATTGATGGGATGGGGTGGGGTGGGGATGGGGAGAGCACTCCCCACTCTGTGGGATCCCCGCTAATATATGTATACATGTACGCATGCATACATATATATATATATATATACATGTGTCTATATATTAATATTTTTAAAAATAATATACTTAAATATGTTTGAATCTTTTCTAATATGATTGTAATTTTTATATTTTTAATAAAATAAAAATAAAAACAAAATGGTTGACATCATAAAAAATCACAGGGAGTGGGGATCCCCGCGGGGATGGGGATGGGGCTAACCTTGTCCCTGTTAGTGGGGACGGGGACAGGGATGAGAGAGGCTCCCCGTGCCCACCCCGCCCCGTTGCCATTCTTACATGCAAATCTGGAAAATTTGGCATATGAGAGTTGCTTGGATGTTGAAGCCAACCTGAGATGACGGTTTGTAATCGTTGTATTCAACATATTTCAGAGCACTCTAATTCTTGCATTTACTACTAATTATCCAGCTACGAGATGAAATTAGTGCCCCACATGCACATATCGACATACATTGGGAACATCTCCTATACTTATCATGGGGAGATGTTCCCAATACAAGGGTGGGAGGTGCAGGTGCAGTGGGGCGTCAATCTAGTCTCCCTACTTTGTACTCCGGATTTGGCAGTTTTTTAGAAATTATAGACTTATAATGTCTCTACCCACTCTTCACATTCTAACTAGAGAGAGAAGTTATCAGTGGAAGATGTTTCCAATACATGGTTGGGATATGAGGACACTTGTACAATGCCTTCTGTGGGGCGTAGATGTGAATTCAAGACTTTATGTCAAGGGTTGGGGACCCCCTTCGTGCAGCAAAACAGTCTCTCAGATTGGAAAGATGCAGCATTATCTTTTTCTATGAAATAAAATGTTCTTTGCAAAATTGTAGGAAAAACTTTAGGCCTCTTCAGGGCTGGAATTGTTGGGGGATCGATTCAAATGGTCTAGCAAGTGGACTAGCTCTCTTTTGGGATACCAACATCGATCTAAATGTAATAAGTGCAAATAAAAATCTGATTCATGCTAGGGTGGTACGAGATGAGGGTCTAGTTTGGTGGGCTTCCCTTGTGTATGGTGAGGCAGCAAAGGAAAAAAAAAGATATATATTTTTTTTTATGCCAAAGTGTCAGGTCTAGCTCAAAAAGTTATCAGACCATAGTGTTGTTTAGGGGATTTTAATATGGCTCTTAACATGGATGACAAGGAAGGAGGCAGGAAATACAAGTAGAGTTGCATTCGCCAAACTAGAAATTTGCTGAGATAGTGAAATCTTTTTTAAGTCCCTTTCTGTAGTTCAAGATTTACTTGGTCAAATAAAAGAGATAGGTAAGAGAACATAAAGGTCAAGTTAGATCAAGGTTTTTGCAATATAGAATGGCAAGAAAGTTTCCCAAATGCAAAGGTTTGTTCTCTGGAATCTTATGGTTCTGATCACCTTCCTATTTGTCTAAATTTGTACCCAAGTGAAAGGAAGAAGAGAAGACTATTTAGATTTGAGGAGTTGTGGTTAACACATGATAAATGTGAAGAAGTTGTTAGGGAGGCTTGGAAGAGGAACCCAAGGTTTAGGGTAACAGAAACAATCTCAAAACATTGTGAAAATGTTAGGGGAGCTTTGAAAAAGTGGAATAGGAAAGAATTTGGAAGAATCAATGAAGTACTGGAAAGAACAAATGCCGAGTTAAGTGAGGAAAGAGCTAAGCATTGTTCAAATTACAATAGTAAGAGAGTTGATGAGTTGGAAAAAGACAAAGAGATAGATCTACTTTTGAAAATAGGAGATAATGTGGGCCCAAAAATCTAGAGTTAACTGGCTTCTTCAAGGTGATAGAAATACTAGATTTTTCCACAATGCAACCTTTAGGGGAAGAGCAAAAAATAAAATTTATAAATTAAAAGATAATTTTGGTATTTGGGTTGAAGGTCAAGAGAGGATTGAAGAGGTATTAATTAGACATTTTGAGGAAATTTATGCTTTTTCAAACCCAAATAAGATTGAAAAAGCTCTTGAAGGAATTCAGCCCATTATATCTCTTGAAGAAAATGCTGAGTTGCAGAGGGAAGTTTCTGAAGATGAAATAAAGAATGCTTTATTCCAAATGGATCCTTGAAAAGCTCTGGGTCCGGATGGCTTTCCAAATCTCCTTTTTTAGGAGTTTTGGGAGGTAGTGGGAGAGGATGTCTATAGAGAGGTGTAGGATTTTTTCAAGAATGGGATCCTCCAAAGTGATCAAGACAGAACTTTTATTGCCCTCATTGCCAAGACAAAAAGTCCAGAAACAGCCTCAAATTTTAGACAGTTTGTGCAACACAGTATACAAAGTCATTGGAAAAATTTTTTAGCTGATAGGCTAAAACTCATTTTGCAAAGAATTATCTCTCTAAACCAGAGTGCCTTCTTGCCAAGAAGGCTGATTTCAGATAATGTTCTTTTATCTCATGGGGTTATGCACTTCATGAAGGGCATAGGAGCAAAAAAGAAAAAGGTTACATGGAAATTAAATTGGATATGAGTAAAGCCTATGATAGGGTGGAAAGGGCTTTATTGGAAGGAGTGTTAAAAAAAATGGAGTTTGGGACTACTTGGATAAACGGGATAATGACTTGTATAACCACTGTCTCATACCAAATCCTTGTAAATGGCTCCCCCTCGAAGAGAATTATTCCCCAAAGAGGTTTGAGACAAGGGGATCCCTTATCTCGCTATTTGTTTCTCCTATGCTCTGATGTTCTGTCTTTTATGATAAATGAGATGGTAGAAAAAATCTCTCTTTGGTGTGAAGATTTGCAAGCAAGCTCTAGTGATTTCTCACCTTTTTTTCGCAAATGACAGTTTCATTTTCACATCAATAAATCTTAAGAAATGTGGAGCCCTGTTGGAAACCATTACATTATATGAAGAAGCTTCTAGTCAAAAGGTGAATTATAAGTCTGAGATTTTCTTTAGCTCAAAGATTCACCCAAAGGTGACAAAGATCATTTCAAAAGGGCTTCATCTAAAAAGAATTGACAATCCTTATATCTATTTAGGGACCTACCCTTTAATAGGTAGAAGGAAGTGTCAACTCCTTAACTACATCACAGAGAGAGTGACTTCCAAAGCTTTGGGTTGGAGAGACTCCTTCCTTTCTCAAGTTGGTAAAGAAGTCCTGTTGAAGTCTATCATCTCTGCTATTCCAACATATTGCATTTCTTGTTTTCTCCTTCCAAAAAAAAGTTTGTAAAGATATTGCAAAGACTCATAGGAAGTTTTGGTGGGGTGAGAGTCAAGGTAAGAAAAAAGTCAGTTGGGTGTGATCAACTATGTAAAAATAAAATGAAAGGAGGTTTAGGAT